AAAAATATTATATGGAATTGAACGAAAATGAAAATTTGCTTGATAATTCAACTACGCTTGTTGGAGAACAATAAAAACACTACACTCAACAAGCCACCAATAAAACTCAACTGCCTAACCTATAACCAAAGTCTCCTTTTAATTTGTTTTTAAAAAAAGCGCTTGACAAACTTGCCCCGCATGCCGAAGTTGCCCCGGTCTCCCCTATATATGTATAAATTTATATATTTTTTTCCTTTTTGAAGCTTATATACAGTACATGTGCGATAAATACACTCACTGCTAAAAGTTAAGCAGAGAGCGACAAACTGCGAAAAATCGACAAATACAACTGTGATTGACACGAAATGTGGCAGGAAAGTAGCAAATATGTTTATGCATGAAACAACACAAAGAATTATATAGAAAGATGAAAACAATATTGAATTTTCATAAAGTATAAGATGAAATCATATTGGAATCATTAACAAAACAATGTTTAAATCCAAAACAAACAAACAAAACCGACATTAATTAATAGGGTAAGTGGTCACCCCTCATCCTTACACAAAGTTTACAACGNATAGAAAGATGAAAACAATATTGAATTTTCATAAAGTATAAGATGAAATCATATTGGAATCATTAACAAAACAATGTTTAAATCCAAAACAAACAAACAAAACCGACATTAATTAATAGGGTAAGTGGTCACCCCTCATCCTTACACAAAGTTTACAACGTGTAACCATGCTATCCATGAGGTGATCAACTACTCCAGAGTCAAATAAGTGCCATTCCCCCTGTAGAGCAGTTTGCAACTCTGAGAGTGACTGGGGATGGGAAACGTGCACACACAACAAGACCAAGGGCATCCCAAAGATTCTCAATGGGATTGAGGTCTGGCGAGAATGCTGGCCAATCCATATGCGTGATTTCCTCACTCGAGGTAGTCGTCGACGAGGGCAGCTCTATGGGGTCGTGCGTTATTATTTATTAAAACGAAAGCAGGACCAACTGCTGTACAATTTCACAATGGGTTCGAGGACTTCATCCCGATACCGGACAGCCATCACAGAACCCCCTCGATAGATGTGCAGGTCGGTGCGATATCCTAACGAAATGTCTGCTCACACCATAATGCTTCCATCTCGGAATGCGTGATGCTCAATGATGTTCTGGGGACGAGTGCGTGTGCCTTTTTTTCTCCATACTCTTACATGCTTGTCATCTGGCTCCAGGGAAAATCGCGACTCATCCGTGAACACAATATTGCCCCAATCAGACACAGTCCAATTCACATGTTGCCAACACCACTTTAATCGTGTGCCTCTGGATTGGACGGATAGTGGAACACAAACTCGTGGTACTCGGGCATACAGTCCGTTCGTGTGTAGCCTTTGGCGCACAGTAGTAGCAGATATCGTTTTATTACTGGCTGCTGCAACCATCGATGTTACACATGTAGAGTTGCTTTTCAATTCTGCTTGGCTACAACAGCAATATAGCGATCTTCTGCGGGGGTCATAACCCTTGTTCAACCGGAAACAGGTCTTCGGACAACTGTTTGGCTTGTTTGGAATTGTTTCCATAACTGTGAAATGATGGAATGATGAACGCCAAAGAAAAGAGCAACATCTGTAATTGATTGTCCTGCTTCAAGGCGTCCCATACTGCCAACGCTCACTGTCTGTCATTCGTCTTCTGGAAGCCATAGAAACATGTCAGTCATGCACAATAATTGTACGACAGTTCTCCACACTTTTTCTCGGCACTTACATGCAACTC